ATATATATGCCTCCAGCTCCTGTAGATTTAAAACGCCTGCAACCGCTGCAGGGCCAAGTGTATGTATTCCTCTGCCAGCCAGGGTCAGGCTGGTTAGGTGCTCACTAAGGCCTTTCTGCATTCAGCGTCAGCGAAAGGGCACACAAGACACTTGGTGCGCTGGAATCAGCAGGCAGGCTGCTAGGAGCGGATTACACAGAGAGACAGACACACAGACACACGCGTGGGGAACCGGAGACCGCCCAGATCCCCAAGATGCCCACTGGGTACGGACCGAGTGAGGCGCGGTGATTTCTGCAGCCTGAGGCTCTCGGCAGGTCCGGAGGGACTGACTGGCAGCCACGCTGTGGGTCAGCTCTGACGCGGGGCGGATCTAGACAGATATGGGGCGGAGTCAGCAGCGGAGGGCAGACGCGCCAAGGGCAAATCCAGTGAGGACAGGTGGACAAGCATTGCTTCCTGCAGTACAGAACAACCAAGGATCAAAGAGACTAAGATCTTGAGGCTGTGCTGTACTAAGGAGGGCGGAAGGGACGCTGGGAAACACGGAACCTTGCTAAGTAAATTCCCCTACATGCTTGATTAAGAGATTCAGAAAGAGAGAGAGCTAGAGCTAGAGAGAGCGAGAGAGCGAGAGTGGTTATAACCAATGTATAAAAAATACATAGTTTTGGGGGTTTTTTTATTCTTTTTTTTTTTTTTAATTCTCTTCTGGGGAGTAAGGTTTGTGTTGGGAATGAAGACACAGGTTACAAACTTAAGTCAGTACACTGGAAACTCAAGAGCTGATAGCTTTCCTGGATATCAAGTGCTAAATGTTCACTGGGTCAAAAAGAACAAAGAGAAGAGCTTGGCTTTTATCCTTATCAATCCTAAATCATGGTAGAATTATCCTCGGGAAGTAGGGAGAGTTTTTTTCTTTGCTCCAGTGATATTAAGGTTTTAATTGCTGGAGAGTCATAAAATGGCATTTAATGCTACATAGTGACAAAAAAAAAAAAAACCAAACAATTAAAAAAACATGATTTTTTTATAGCAGCATTCGGGGTGAATAGTTTAAAAATCACAGTACAAATGTTGAAAAAAGTGAATAAAACCATATAATTAGCATTCTAAGATAAGATAAGGATGTCAGGACATGGGTGCTTTCTAAAATTATTTATAAATATCAATGTGAGTTATCAAATTTAAAGCATTGCCAAGAAGTAAGTTGCTGTATCTATCTATGTATCTATCATCTATCTACCTATAGATCATCTATCAATCTATTAATGGTGGTGTGGTGGTACTAAATATAGAATCTAAAGCCTCAAGCACTGTAAACAAATCTTCAAAATTTTAACAAGATTCTTTGGAAAGAATTTTGCACTTTTAAAGAAAGTCAACAAAGCCTATCACACTTAACCAAATCCTCATGGAAATCTTTGAAGAACCATTCTTCTACCAAAACAAAACAAAACAAACAAACAATAAAATGAAAAATTTATCAGTACTCTTAATCTGGAGAAACAATCCTAGGTTAACAAGAAAATGATAGTATATGTTCTTACCAAGAACTTTTTAGAAAAACAAGATTAATTTAAATATTTTTAAGATTTTGGCATTTTATAGTTTTTATTGAGTTGTAGAATTAATTACATGACATTTACTCTCAGTAATTAATAAAATAGTGACAATATATATTTATTGTGTTCTTATTCTCCTTTTTCTAGGTTATTGCTTACCCAAGTCCTGAAGGATATGTACAGGGAAATGGTTAGGTGAAAGAAAAACAAACCTAGAATCTTACTGTATACAAATAGCGACAAGAAAGAATTATAGAGATATCTTGTTACATTTTTTTGCAGGTATATATATTTTTATAATAGTCTTTTTTTGGTCATATAGTACAAAGCAGTCACTGAATTTTTACCATGTGCGAATGCCTAGGTTTTGTGCACAACACCATTAATATATATATATATATATATATATATATATATATATATATATATATA